CGCCAACATCGGCGGTGTGCACCTACCGAGGGTAAGATTCAGGCTTCCAGGGTGGCCGAACTGTTGCCACCAACACCGAAATCTAGGAGCGTCTTCCCCCATGCGGAGGCACACCCCCTGTGATGATGTCGGTGCCCATGTCTGGGCCTTCAAGACTGGCTGGGTCAGCGACGCCATTGTGACGCCGCTGGTCTACCTCGAAGCACGACTAGAGCTGGGGGGCCCAGGTGATCTCGCGCGAGCCGCCGCTGTCTGCGAGGGGGGGCGCCAAGGCGGCGGCGCCGCGCGCCCCTCCGGAAGGGCCTCCGGGCCACCCGGCTGAGCCGAGGGGGGCCGGGCAGGCTGGGCAGGGCAGCGCCTCGAGGGGCATACGAGCCGAGAAGATCACGGGCAGCGTTAGTGGCGGGGATGGGCTCAAGTCGGGCGTGCCCCGTCTCCAGGAGGAATCTTCGAGGGTAATCAAAAAATAGTCTGGGGACTTTGATATCTATCTGATGGTTTAAAAGGAGATGCTATATATATATATATATATATATATATATATATATGACTAGTTTCGAACACGTTTGAACCAGTTCTGGTTTTTCGTCTACAGCTCGCCCGTGCGGGGACGTGCCCGACCCGAGGACGGGCTCGGGGGAGGCCGCCTCGGCCCCCCGTCGCCCACTGTGGTCACCCGCGGGGGCCCGCGGGCGCCCGCCCCGCCCAGGGCCGCGCGGCCTCGTCCTCGGGGGCCCCATGCCGCCGACCTGTCGTCGACTGCACGTAAGAGTGACCTTTCGCCGGAGTGACCTTTGGTGCGGGCTCATCGGGGTCCCTTCGATCAACGAGTTTGCTGCGTCAGCGGCTGCCTGCGCGCTTGGATTCGGCAGCTTTGCGCCCCCTTAGCCCACGCACCAAAGGTCACTCTTGCCCAGGGTCACTCTTGCGTGTGGCCGACTGTCGGCGATGCATCGCCGATGCGGGGCCGATGTGACCCCCTCGGGAGCCTCGAGGCGGGGGTCAGTGCAAACGGGGGTCAGCCAGGGCGCCTGATCCTGAAGGATCCTGCGGCGAAGACCCCCCCCTCTGGCTGACCTGGGTTCGCGAGCCGCTCGGGGCCGCGGGGCGGCCGCGCCTATTGGTGGACCCGGGTTGGCGAAGACCTGCGTTGCAGTTTTTTTGCCTGCGTTGCAGTTTTTCC